CTGACAGGCATTTTTTTGCTAAATTTAGTAATTTTTGTTTCAAGAATAGAATTTTATGGGTTTTATGTCAAGTTACTCATGGTTTCTAATATTAATAACATCCCATATGAATTTATGTAAATTTTATCATTAAATATGCATAATTTATGCTAATTTGATGACGTCATTGGCCAAAATCCAAGATGGCAAACCATATCATTAGAACAGGTATATACAAGTTATTTTCCTTAAAATTTCATCAATACTTCCATTTCTTTTTCCAAAAAAGGTTTAAATGAAGGTCTTTGGTATGTTTACAATGTATTTTAGGCTTTATCACGAAAAAAAACTATTTTTGAAAATTCAACATTGATGATCCAAGATGGCGGATATCTTAAATATGTATGACGTCATTTTATGACGTCACCGGTGTTGCTATGGGCAACATAAGACTTAGTACACTCTAATATTCTGTCATAAACACTTTTGGTAAAGTTATGTTGAATACCATTTAGTTTTCAAGGAATAGCCTATCTAGACGGTTTTGGCCAATAAAATCCCATTAATGACGTCATAATGACGTCATATTACGTCATAATGACATCAAAATTGTAGATATGATAAATTTTAACTAGTACACCATCCTCTGAAAATTTGGTAGCCATACGACATACCGTTAGCGAGTTCTGAGGGGGGCCGAAAGAGCCGAAAGACCCCCCCCCCCCCCCCCCGGTCAAATCTTGCTCAAAAAAGCCCGGTCTAGATAGGGTTAAGAAAACTCAGAAACAATGCCCTATTCACACCTAAATAAACAAGGTGCACAAAATATCAATCAAGTTGTATTGATAAGCGGCATGACATCCCTTTTAACCACAGGGTTGAAAAATACCGACCTATGCGTTTATAAAAGAAATGACAGCCCGTCGGGTTGAGGATGTCCTTAACATGCATGGCTGCTATGATAAACTGATGGAAATAGCTGGGCTGGTCCATAACCTACCACATAACTGCACCTAAATCTCACAGGGACACTGCTTAAGCTAAGGTCCCAATTACGCCGGTGCCCGTCGGGGATGTAGCCCAGGCTGGCCCCGGCCTGGTTTAGGAGTCGAGCGGGCATCGGCTGTCGTGGTCACAATTAAAAGTTTCCTTCAGTAGCATTTTGTTAAAAATTTTGTCACCCTCTTTGGTCGGTATCCGGCAGGCACCCGGCAGGTACCCAGCAGATTCTCTGCCGATGTCTTGTATTGACATATAGGTAATGCAGAATTCACGTATTTGTTGTGATCATTGGATCTGTGAGGTCACACATTTTACCCGGGTTTACGAAGTACACACCTTTATTCTGTTCCTCTGGTCTGTGACGTAAGAAATGTGTCCCGGTGGAATGCCGGCAACCGGAGGGGTACCTCTCGGTGTTCTCACGATGAGGTCACGGCGTCTTTTTTTTCAGCGGGGCCCGGGTAGAATTCAACTCAGAATTAAATTCTTATCGGGGCCCCGACGGGCCAAAAAATAGCCCGGTAGCCGCAGGGTGCCCCGCGGGGCCACGTCGGGGTCCCGCCCGAAAGTGGTAAAAAACAGCCCGGGAACTACCCTCCAGGGCCCCTTTTCCCAATTGGGACCTTAGCTTTACTAAGTCACTGCAAAAATAAATGAGTTTCAAGTGGCAACAGAGGAGAGTAATTGTCAACAGCAATTGATACCTTACAACAAATAGAATGTTACAGTTGTTTTGTCTTGACTTACAATGCACGCTTAGTGTACGTCTCCGTCATTGTTTACGTTTTGTTCTCTGAGGACTAAAAGAGGAAGGTGTCTCTTTATTTTTTGGGGACCGCCCAGAATTTGTTAATCTTTTACGTCGAATAGGGAGGAAGGTATGCTGTTGAGTGTTGATGTTAAACAGCTTGTTTTGCTGTGTTTTGAGGTGTTGGGGCATTTTATGCTCAAGATTAACTGACTTCGTATAGATCAAATCTGACAACAAATAGATTTTTTTTGTTCTTCGTAACATGAAACAGGTGGTTTGTAACGTTACATTGATAATTCTATTCTGTCTGTCAATAGAAAGGAGATACAACTATTAACTGTATTATTCGAAATAATTTAACAGATGTTGTAGTGTATAAATATTAAGGGAGATACCTTTATTGTTTTAGTTTCTGCCATCAACTGATTTAAAAACACCACAGGAACACAAAGGTCATGATCAGATCACAGTGCAACCTTGGAATTTTACACACACCCCTCCCGCGCGATGCGTTATGGGAATAGTAAACTGTTGAATGAAACGCTAGAACCAGTCTACAATATAAACAAACAGCTCTTTCCACAAGTAATTACGCATATTTGCCTCACAAATATCAGCATGCTATGGGATAAAAATAATTTTATAATTTTTATTTCATTTTATTTATTATCATCTTAATTTTACAATTTCTTGTGAGTACTCTGCAGTATTATACGAACGTTCTGCCATCTCTAGTTAGGACAGATATGAGAAAGCAGCATGTTTAACTGGTTGTCTACCATGGTTTCATCAGGGTGGATGGCGTCCTTCCCCGGCTGGCACACGCTCATGTCCCACGTGTCCAGCACAACCACGTCTGGATCCGCTCGGAACATCTCCCGTATCACCTCCGTGATCTGGTAAGACAGCCAGTCACTTCCTGTCAAGTAGAACTGCAGCTCTGCTCCTCTCCGTGTATATGCGGTTCTGTGCTGTCGCGTTGTTCCAGTTCTCACAACAATCTGTGTAGCAGGACTCCTGCGCTTGAGACGGTGTATGGCGCCCCGTATGGCGTACAGTCTGGACCGGATTATTTCTAGCGGCTCTGCCGTAAAGTGAGCCCACAGACTCAGGACTATAACCGTGTTTGAACCCCCGGGACTGGGGTCCAACTCATCAGCAACGTAACGGAAGTTAGAGAAGACATTCCAGTTGACTTGTTGCAGTGGGAAGTGGTGAAACCGGTAGCGAACTGAGATGTTCCATTGGCGGTTGTCTCCTGCTAGAATAGCTGTAAACAAACAAACAAACAAACAAACAAAATGTACCATTTAAATGTTAGCTTTTTGTGACAATTTTCGGCCTACATGTACATTTTTTCAGACAATCGTTCTGACATATTCACAACTACCCCCTATCACCATCTAACCATCAGCTTGGCTAAAAATCGGGAGCAGTCTAACGAGAGAGAGACCACGCCTTCTTTTTCTTTGCGAATCCAGTTGGAGTTAAATTTGAGTCAAAATTTACCTAATCCCGAACACCCTCCAAACACTAGCCGATCATGATGGCCAAACCGGCCGTGCACACCCGAATGTTTGAAACATTTTCTAAACACTCGGCTAGCTAGCGCAAACTGATAGTACCCAATATACCAGAACATCAGCCAACCAAAGCCACCAACATACCAATATGTTTGAGATGGACTTGACGTTTTTTACAACCTATAACTAGCTAGACTTATTCTGTAAGCTAAAGCAGTATACAATTCGATGGTGCACTATAGCTGTTTTGTACACCGCTTCACCGTCTGCATCTTCACAAATATTTGAAGGAAACTTTTTTTTTATTATTTATTGAAACAACAAAGTGTACAAGACATGGTACAAGACACAGAGGTGGAAACTCTAGCCAAAGCCAATATAAAGGAAGGAAACTTGTTAGGCCTAGAGCAATATATATCTCAGAAAGTTTAGTACACATCGACATACCTGTAAAATCCATGGTATTCTTATTGTAGTACAACGGCACTATCTCCTGCAAACGCTCGCTCCATTGTCTGAGGGTTGAGTCACCTACATTAAAGTAATAGAAAGTATCCATTAGTATCCGAAAGTATCATATATGTTTTGAACCCCCAAACTTCTGCCTTCGCAGACTGATGCGAGTTACGCCGCGGGGACAGTTATCCGCCGAGGGACTTTGCCGGAGAGAGACGGTTTCCCTGCATAAGACGTCTACGACGACCAAAGGGGATATTAAAAAACACTTCTCATGCGGGAAAACCGTCTCTTCCAGTACCTCGGTGACAAAACCTTCCCTGTGGCATAACCCACGTCGCTTTTCGAAGAATTTTGCGAAGGAGGCTAGCCCCAAACCACATTTGATCTTCGTTCGTGTTCTTTGTTCTTGGCGTAAGCTAAACTTTGAAAATATTTTGCCGAGCGCACCAATGGGCGTAAAGAAGACTGTGTTCGTTTGTTGCTAAATGTCTGTCTCCGGTATCGGGTAGTGTTGGTCAGGATCTTTGTCCGAGTTGACTGGGACGCGTTGATAATCAAGCCGAGTAGTCCGACGTTCTAATGATACGTACCTTGCATGTACACGGTCTTGTTAGCCAGGCACCGCTGGATGTCTCTCTGAGTGAACACTCGGACGTTGCAAACGGATGACTTCCAGACATTGCCTGACCAGTGTCCTACAGATGCAGACTTGTCCCAGGTACACGGTGGAAGGTGTTGAGTTGTGGGACGTCGACCTTGTCGCTCAAGAACAGGTATGGGCTCATTGGGTTCTACTTCAAGTTCTTTCTCAATATACGGCCTGTGTGGCGGAATGGACATAAACAATATCCTTTTTATCAGCTATGAAACTGTCGAATATATTTTTTATAACGCAGGTTGTATGGATGGTTGCAAGACCGTAACTTTTTTATTACCTTCGTCAGAAGGTTTTGTTTCTGGTCATATTTTCCCAATGCGAGCATGTTTTATTTATTTGTTTTATTTTTTGAAATTGCAACAGTGCAATACAACGCGGAGGCAGCTTTTACTGGTGTTGTGTCCCGCAGAAACGAATACTGGACAGACAATACTCATTTTAATTTGAGTCTAGTAGGGAAGGTCGAGCTAAGGTCGTGCCTTTCCCAATTGCACAAGATCATAAGATCGGTGGCATGTCAGGACTCGAACCCAGGACCTCTTGGTTCCGATTCGAGCACGCTGCCGTTGCGCCACACGACCCCATAAGCAGTAGACCGCGACTTAATGCCCCCTCCCAAGGACTCCAGTAGTGTGTAAGTCAATGAAACCACCAACATGAAAACTCCACAGTACTGCAAACCCGAAAAGATACACCCAGTGGTGACGACAATGACAATCATCGTGACTATGTTAGAATATTTCCATATTCGTGTAACGCATTTGTTTCTGTACTCCGAATTACGTACACATCGTTTGGTTCACATGCCAGCAAAGTAAAACTCAAGCTATATACAGCAGAACATCTCTGACAACCCAAACTCATACATGACGAAGGTATGACGTCATCGACCTCTTTTTATATATATGCAAAGATATTAGGTAATGAAAATATATTTCACAACTTGTGTATATTTACATTCATTTTCAGCATCGTGCCATATGTGTTGTAGAAGATAAACTATAAAGGTCCCTGCAGCTGTCACACATCAACTATGACGTCCCAAAAACTGCCGACCTCATTCTAAACCGTGGTAGGTCGGGACTAAGATCGGCTGGTGTTGGGCTGGTGTTAAGAGGTTGGCTCAAGTTCGGCGAGGTCGGCTACTGTTCGACCGGGCTTAGCCGTTGTAAACATTTTTAAACATTTGGGTATGGAAGGGAGTTTCGGCCATGGTTAGCTGCTGGATGACTTGTGTTCGGGAATAGGTCAGCTGGCCCGAGTTCGAGGGGTCGAATTTGACTAAAATTTGGCTTAAATTCTTGACTGCTCCCGTCTCCAGTGAGCAAAGTGAGGAAGGTGTTGAATGAGTGACTCTGGCTTGATAGAATAAACAGGGTATCAATATAAAGATATTATATTAATATTGATCCATGATATTAATGATTATAATGATCCACTGCTCACGGAGTCACGTGCGTTATCTGCGTGACGTCACGGAAGCGGTGGATTGTTCATTCCTTGACAAAGACTGGAGTTGTACGATCGAAAATTTGAGTGAGTCCAATTTGTTGTGTTGGACATTACAGTTTAAACTTGCTTAATAATGACTTCTACTTCAACACAGATGAACTTTCAAGATAATGCTGAGGTCACAATTCCCACACGGGACCCGGCCGGGCAGCTTTTGGAAACGAAAAATATGATTTGAAAGACAACAAAACACAGACAAGTTCTTAATAACAATCATGGGCGCTATTTCTGTATATTCTTGATATGAATTGTTATTTTTTCGTTCATACAAACAACCCGGCAGGGCCCCGGCTTGGAATTGTGACCTCAGCATAATATAAGGATTGGAGAATCAAAAGAATTTATTTTGGAAAACTTGAGGACTCACTTTTGGAAAAGTGTCTCTTCCTGTTGAGACACGCCTCGCAGCGTCCTTGCCACGCTCTCGAGCCGGTCCCACCGACATTTTGAGACGGCGGAACACGGAAGTTTGTCCGGCTTCTCACAAACCCAGGTTCCGTTCACCTCTGGCTTTGAGAAGTCACACTGTTGGTAGGACGGTAGGCTGGGGTTGACAGAGCTGAAACATCGTGTCGTATCGGTGTTGTTCGCGTCCACAAAGCTGCAGTAGAAAAATCTCTTGTTTGGAGTTTCTCGTACTCTTTGCAGAACCTTCACCGCCTCGCTTGGATGAACAAGCTGGATCTTTATCTGATGCCAGTAGTACGAAAATGAACACAGTCAAGGAATTGTTAAGACGGAGTGTAGAGAAAACCTATTTACTTCTTTCTTACAAATTAGAAATGGAGGTACTGTTTTTGTATATATGTGTGTGTGTCACAAGTTATGTGTGTTTCCTCATACGTTAGATTGTAATGGATATGGTTTAAGACTAAAAACTAATACCTCGCTGGTAGCGCTCGCTGTCTTATGTAAAAAAAAAAACTCCTAGACAGATGACATTTGGTGTTGTTTCTCTTGCACGACAAACGGGATTGCAAAGAAAGATCGGGCACACGGGTTACGTTGCATTCATATTTGGCTATACAATGGAACCTATTTTCATGAATTTCAAGTCGTGACTCCATACTTAATGCAATGATAAGAAGAGGACATGGTCACCATTACACAGAATCGGACTATTTCATGGAGGTGGAGGTGTAAGATTCTTGTTATATTTTGTTTTATATTCCAAAAATGATAATCACAAGACGTGGTGACGGCACACTCATGTTTTTTTCAACTTATAGTTATACCGCCAACAACACAGGGGAAAATAAAATACTTATTTTCACCTGAGCAAAGTGACGAAAGTCGTGTAAATGGTGTGCATGTACATGTCAGGATTTGAACCCGGGACCTCTAGGTTCAATGTCTGGCACATTATCCCACATTTTTCAACAAAGACATTCATTGTACTCACCGAAACGGTTCCTACCCAGTAGAGCGGGAACTGCACGGTGTAGGTACCGTTACAGTGATCAGTGACGTGACCGGCGCTACTGGCCTGCACAGAACCGTCACTGCCGATGAGCCTGGCACGGAAAAAATCTCCTCCGCTCGTCTTCGGCCTTCCTTCCTTGTCTCCTGCCATAACCTTTACGGTAAGAACTTCTCCTTGATGAACGAGCTGGTCTCTGTTTAGGACGACAACTTTCGTGTATTTGGGGTGTGTGGTCTGGTTGAAAAGGACAGGCTGCTTGAGAAGACAAAGCTTAACTCTTTGCTCGATGAGGCGAGGTTTTGACTGTGGCTTCAGACTATCCTCATGGTCTCCAGCGCTAACGTACGGGTTCCTGGTGATTAACCGTTGATAGGAAAACGTCAACGTCTGCATGAAATAACAAGAACAACATTGAAATATAACCCAAAGCATGCTTTCTAATTTTATTACCATAATTCACAAAAAATACCGCTTCAATTTCGTAGCTATATAGGCCTTGCGATGACGTACTATTCTAAACAAAAGTCTCAGCCCTCTTTATTTTTTAAGCGTGACCGTTATTGTTAGGTACTATATATACTTAAAAGCAATTTTTAATTACTAGTAGTGTGTTAAATTGTGGTTTTAAGTGTTATTTTTCACAAGCTAAACATCATTCGCTGGCGATTTTGCATGGCGAGTCAATACCCCTTATAGTATCGTCGTGACTTGGTGATGTAACAGTGACTTACCGTAAGGAAAATCACCAAAACAAAGAGCACCGCAAACGCAGCGTATTTCCTGGCTCCGGTCATGACGTGTTCTCCTAACAGATACACAGTGATGAGGGCCCCACACATGCACACCATCTGGCCTTTGCGACATGAGCAAAAAAAAAAAACAAACAACAACAATGCTTTAATAAAGACATCCAATACCCTTCACTCAACATGCAACCATTGTACAGTGCATGTTATGTGAGAGTCCTACACATTGGCAAAACTCTTTTCTCACATCTCATTTTGAATTATACAAATGCCTTCCACATCAACATAGTTTATGCATATCATTTTTATGTAACTTCTATAAATTACACGAATGAAATTCATATTATTTCAGCGCTAGTGATCCCACTTTTATATCAATTATGTAAATTAGGTTCAATTTGCATAATATGTTTCTTTTAATGTCCAACATACCATACATTGCATATAGTACACGTATGAAAGTGCTATTTCATTAAACAATTTGACATGCTAAAAACACAAACCTGCTTCCCATGTTGTGGTGTTGTAAATTTGGAATAGTGAAAACCTATCCTCATACACGGCTGATAACATAAAATAGCTGAATCCTCCAAAGACAAGAAGAGAAAGAAAGACCGACGTTCGAATCTTCATTCCTTAGTCACTTAGTCACCTAGATGGATGTAAACATTGATGTTATTTATTTATTTATTCAGAATTGTAACAAGACAATACAAAGTGTACACTAGGCAGCAAGTATGCTGATAGCGTGCACACCTAACACATACCTGGACATATGACATAAAAAAACAGCAATAAATAGTTAGAGCAAGATATATACACAAATAACATTATCTAATGAATTGCACCTGCAATTAAAATCAATTTTATAACTGTACAGCAATTGTATGTTTAGTCTGGCTCAGCTGGAAGAGGCACGGAATCTTTTTGATTGGGCAATGAACGTGTGGAGTGCATCTGTGAGTTTTGTATTTATGTCAAAGTTATGAGCTGGAGACCCCTTCCATTGATGTTATGACCAAAAGTGCTAAAAGTTCAAGCCAACACTAAGTAAATTCGGACTTACCGAAATTTTCTACCGACATTGTCAGCCTTGTTCATAGGATTGATCCTTCTACTGCAGCTTCCAGGACGTGACGTCGGAAACACGTGATTGCAGCAATGGATTTCTTCGCGAGAGGAGAAAATAAAGGAGGCGGTGTACATTCGGGCCAACCGCCCTACACTGAACTGAGACGGGGGGCGACACAGGTTATCTGACACATACGACCCTCTGCTGCACTCACGTGTTTCCGACGTCATGTCCCGGAAGCTGCAGTAGAAGGGTCCATTCCGTGAACAAGGCTGACGGACTCGGCCGAAAATTTGGTTAAGTCCCAATTTTCTCAGTTTTGGCTTGAACGTTTAGCCCTTTTGGTCATAATGAAGTATGCCAGCACAGATGAACCTTCATGATGATTTACATTGATGTTGCATATTGCTCTGCAAACATGGATTTCAAATTATGAACCCTTTTATCGATGCCAAATATTTTAGAAACATGTCCGGCTGGCGACGAATAAACTATTCAAAAATAAAAACCGGCTTTTGCTATAAACATTAAAGCAACGATAATACCATACTACCTGACCTCCCAGACTTCTATGTTTGGGGTGTTTTGTAACATAGATTGAAACAAAATGGAATAATTTGTACCACATAGTGCCTGGACGGTGAGTATTTGTTTGTACACAGACAACCTTTCCGCAGATATCCGTCAATCTGACACCTTTCACACTAAAACATACCCTAAGGGCACATTTCTTTTATGTCTGATATGAGCCAGGTAAAAGCATTTGTGAAGTTGACGAATATGCTTGTAACATGTAACATCACAGTGGCGTATTAACATATAGATGTTCTACGTAGCTCTCAATCAAATACAGAATATGTTTTGCTTCCATTGTATAAAGATTGAGCCGGAAATTATAATAGACTACTGTATATGATGTGTAGATGCATATAGTATATGCAGATTATAGCATATGCAGATTGATACATAAACAATGATGTTTGTTTCTACTCTTGATGGAATTGTATACAGCAGCTAGTGCTAGCTTTACGTTAGACAGTGTCTCAAGTTTGGTAGATATTAGACTACTAGTCCCCGTCCTGCGAAGCACAACAATCGTTGTTTTTGACATAACAGCACTATGTATAAAGCACTCTGCATAGGTATGATTTTGGGGCATTTCTCGTGCAACGCATTACACCGCAGCAAAACGTAACGAACGCGGAAGTAACAAAAAAAAGTTGGAAGTCTTTGACCTAATTAAGATATGAAATTATTGAAAAATATTGTGTGAAAAATGCCAGCAGGACATCGGCAAGGATTTGCAACTTGCTGCTGTGTTAAATACTAACAGAATTCAACGACAACGTTCCAGAACTCAATACACGTTTCAATGTACCAGCCACACTGACATACAAAGAAATATAATCTTTATTTGGTCTGTTGTCCTGGTTATCTATAATAGGAGACAGTCATTCAAAAGAGCCATAGAAAACTACATATATTATATGAGTCCAAATACATTCTAGTTTTATGTCCATGGTGAAAGTCCACTATATCCACTCTTTTTGGAAATAGCATGAAAACAATGATAACGAAGCAAATTAACGAGCCTTTAAAAAAATCCATGCAAATTCCTGTTTTAAAGCCCTTCTACAGTAACAGTTTCTTTCCCTGGACTGCAATATTATGGAACTACCTCCCAAACGCATGTTTCCCTTCCGAATACAATCCTCAAAGGCTTTCAAAATAAACATTTGGCGCCATCTTTTGGCCTAGTCATACATATAGGTCAAACCTCCTAACTACGTGCCTCTGAAGAACTTTGAGATATAAAATCGTTCAAGAACAATTTACAATGAGGTCATGCCATAAGTCAAATAAGGTCAGAACCTCTAACTGTATGTAACTGACCAGGTCAGAGCACTACGAACCCATGTAACTGATCAGGGCATTTTGCACTGGAAAGGTATATAAGTCAGAGCTTCATGTTACTTGTGTCATTTAGCCTCTGTAGCCTCTGTACACTTGATGAAACCTCACAGGCGAAACCGGTCGTGTGACAGGCTGAATAAAAGTTCTGAACGGGAACTATGCGGCTCCAGATGTCTTACTGAGGAACGACTGCGTGTGCAAGATGTCGGTTACCCGAGGAATGAATCCCCTAGAATTTATACCTCTACCTACGTGCCTATTAGTGATTATTAGGCTTGAGAATTGTGCACTTACCTAAAACTTGAAAAAGTACGGTAGCTCTATAATACAGTCAGGTACAGTAGGTAAAATTGATCACATCAGGTCGACCAGTGACGCTCCCGTGTTGTTGTTGTTGTCTAACAGTGTTGGGGCGGTGACGTGGTCTGTTTTGAAAGAGGCTCGCGCACATCCTGTTCAATATAGTATTTTTGGCTTCAAAACATTTGTGACAGAGCAGGTAACAAAAGCACTACCTGTGATAGCAGCAAGGTGGCGTTTTTGTACTACTGCCTTGTATGTTGCACCCAGGGCACTCTCCCAAGTTAAACTGATGCAATGTTTTCCTCAAAACGATACTTTGCGCGTGGATTGGCCATGGGTTGACAGAATGTCGTCAGCATATTCTTACTTTAGCATTCAGTTGCCACTTGTCTTATAGCATCGTTGAGAAACATCTTTCTTCTGAATCTGCTTTAAGATACTGAAGGACAAGATGAAAAAGAGAAAGGTTGGCGATGACCTTGGTATTGGTAACAGTAAGTAGGGTTATCAGGATCTGTGCCTGTTGTTCTATAGCTACCTGCCAGGTGGCGCGTCAAGGTTGATGCTGACCTTGATGCGGGGGAGGGCGTCAGAAGGATCTTTTCCTGTCGTTCTGCAGCAGACCAAATGACCAAATGACCAAATGCCAACACCAATCCATCTATCTATTTATCTATCTATGTATGTATCTATCTATCTATGCATCTATCTATCTAACTATGTATGTATCTATCTATGTATCTATGTATCTATCTATGTATGTATCTATGTATCTATCTATTTATCTATCTATCTATGTATGTATGTATCTATCTATCTATCTAATATCTATGTATCTATGTATCTATCTAATCTATCTATCTATCTATCTATGTATCTATCTATCTATGTATCTATCTATCTAATAATATCTATCTAATCTATCTATCTCTCTATCTATCTATCTATCTATCTATCTATCTACCTATCTCTATATATGTAACAATTCGAAAGACTTTCTTACACACATCGGGATTCCTAGAGTTCTTTAATTTTGGCGAGGAACATCATCATTTAACACAGATCAATGCTAGTCATAGCCTTATTTACATGATCAAGGACACAAAACAGCACGAAATTTACAAACACTGTAAACAGTTCATGGAGGAATGGGATCCCCGAGCCCTTCCTAAACGTAAATTTACAATATTTACATGTTTCTCTTTGTTACAGGGATGTTGTAGTAGTCTGTATGATAGTAGGTATACAGATAATATTGTTTATGCGACTAACTGTGAGATTATGACCTGTGAGATTATGATCTCATACATCTTTTGGCACCCGATATCAGCCGTGCTGCCTGGGTGGCCATTGTATTGCCTCGTTGCAATAGAATTAAAATTAAAATAAATTTATGACCTGCAGATTTCCTTACGCTGTAGCTAACATTGCTATCACTGACTGAGAAAGCAGGTTGTTTGAGCGAGGGGTTAAGAGGCAGTTCACATCATAGTCCACTCCCCATCCTTAACCCGCGACCAAGGCCGCCGCCGACTATCCTCATATACAACACACTCATCCAGTCACGTGACCTATGCTGACCTTTGAACCTTTGGATCACCAGGACGTCGGCAGAATTTTCATGGTTTTTGTTGGATTTGTGGTCAAATTTGCGTCAGAATTTTGCCTGTAACAGACAACATGTTTTTCGACATAATATTTGAAAACAACAGACGGGATGTTTACCTTATATACGCAAATACATTATATGAGACGTTCTATCGAAGTGCTATGCATAATACATTGCGGGTTTTGCGTTCTGCCGACGTGCTTAGTGTCACGTGACTGCCCTTGTCAGTAGCTGAAGAAAGCTAAAAAATATGATGGATGCTGTCTAAAAGCTTCTACACTTAACAGAACTTAAGTAGAATATATCAGTGTGAATCCTTCCACTTATCATGTCCTAATGAATAACTTTCGCAGCCCATTCCTATTACTCTCATTAAGGAGTCCATAAAACACAGGATTAAGGATGGCGTTACACAGAGTGAAGCACAAAACACCCACGAAATGGTGAGATTTCAGCATATGGCGCTGAAAATTCTCCCCATCCAATTGTATCAGCAGAATCATGATCATTACGGGGAGCCACATGAGAAAGAATGTTACAACTAACATGACTAGGACCTTAACTACACGTACGTCCTTCCCCGAGAACGCTGTAGCTTTGAACCGGATAGTTCTGTTCGCGTCAACGTTGCTAGTTTGACGAGGCAGATTCTTGTGGTGTTTCCCAACACTGGCCGGAGATCCCCTTTCTTTAGACCGACTGTCTGTAGAGAGAGAAGGGAGTGGCATGTCTCTTGTCTTCAGTCGCGCACGAGATTTCCAGAACGTTTTGAACACTCGGTAATAGTTGACACTAATAACAACTAGCGGGATACAAAACGTCAGCAGAAGAGCCGGGATAGTAAAGATGTAAGAAGCCCCCACCGCAGGCCATTCCAACGTGCAAATCACGACTTCATTGCCACCTAAAGGGAATGTCCTTTCTTTGAAATATAGAGCGAGTGGCAAGCAATATAGGCCACACGCTGCCCAAACTACTGCCAAAGTCCCAGCGAAGCAAAGCTTGTCATAGATGCAGCCTCTTTTGAACGGCTTGACGATTGTGTGGCAACGTTCTATGCTGATGAGAACCATTGTCCACATGGTGACTGTAGCTGAGAGAGTCATAGTGTACATGAGTCCGTGGCACACCCCTGAACCCATGGTCCAGCCTTGTGTGATCCGTGCAGCGGCGATAAATGGAGCAGCACTGGCCAGAAGGATGTCCACACAGCACAGATGGACGATCAGGTAGTTGGTCCAGTTGTGCATCTGCCGGTCTCTGGTCAACACGAGGACTAGGATGATGTTGGTGACGTAAGCAGCAATCTGTAAATAAAAGTCAACATCTTGGGTAGCATGAACATTTAAACAAGGCTGGAATTTAAACAATGGAAACATACATGGCTGCTGTTAGGGTTATTGTTTGCATGGCACTTCCATGATCTTATGATTTTGAGAAAGCCTTGGAACCTGTTTAGTCTAGACAGATGCATCACTCCTTCCCTCTCTTGAGTGTACAGTGAAGAAGCCCCTGGGTCACAGAAAGTAGGGAATCCGGGCAGACAGGTTTCTCCAAGGGTTTCCAGGAATATGGGCATAAATTTGTGTCAGCAAACAGAGCTGGGAGACATTCCTGTGGACATTCCATGCCTCTGGACAAAATGCCTGTACCATTCCTATAATTCTTGAAAACTGCACATTTAATACGGTACTATTAGGTTCCTCCCTGAGACGTCGCCAAAAAAGACTCTAATAGACTAACAATATAACAATGATACTAACAATGATTATAAAGAGAACAACAATGACGTTAAAGAGGTAAATTCACACATGGTTAAACGTGTGTAACATCTAATACTAGCACTAAAAGTAAACTACTGTGCGTATATCGCACTTTACACTGCGAAAAACGTTTAAATCTTAAAGTTTTAAGGCATGAAGGTAACCTGCATGACTGTAGACGTGCAAAAACGAAGTGTATATTTAGAAAGAGTCTTTTTTCATGAATCGTCTCTGTATTCATGATTACTTATATAGGTATAAATTATCTCTTCTGTTAAACCTTGTCCTGCTAACATTCCTGGCACAATATTTTTCAATAATTTCATGTCTTAATAAGATCATGGATTCCCTTTTTTTTTGCTCTTCAGTGGCATAGTTACTTCCGCATTCGTTGCGTTTCGCTGCGGTGTGATGCGTTGCACGAAAAATATCCCCAAATCGCACCTATACAGGGTGCTATATAGATGGTAGTGTATGTGCAGAACAACAATTGTTGTGCTCCGCAGGACAATTAAGCTTGTCAGATTTGGTAGTAAATAAATTTAGTCACTATGAACCATACATGGTAAGGAGATTAAACTTAGCACGCCGTTACAACAACCATCCCAGCTATCATGTCCTGAACATTCGACAGTGCTTTTATATCTACACGATAGATGCAGCTTGATTGTTCTGATTGTAGATATAGGAAATGAAACATATCCGAGGCAACGCTTAACACGGTAACTAAACATGCATCAACAATAAATGCCTTTAAAGTAGCGCTAAGAACATACGACCTCTGACCCTGACCTCACGGACAACCGACTGTCATTATTTGACAATACGACTATGCCTAACGATTTTGACTATTTGTTTTGGTTGTTCCGTTGTGTTTGTATGATTGATTATTTGTACCCTCTGTTTATATTATTTATTGTCATTTGCTACGTTTGATCATTTGATTAATCTGTTTTATTTTGCTTAATTTTTATTGTATTCCATGTTGTCCAATGTGTATGTTCTGTTGGGCTACCTTGGAAATCAGTCTTTCAGAGACTGAAGGTACCACCCAACTGTTTTTTTAAGATCAATAAATAAATAAATAGATAAAGTAAGGTAAATTTTGTATTGCTCTAAAAACGTCCTTATTAGGCCTCGAAATTAACTTTTCCTTCTATTGTCCAAAAAAGTAATTTCAATCCCCGAAGTGAGGATTGACTGTCCCACCCTGTTTTCGGAATGTATTATATGACTTCAACTTAAAGTTAACTTTATTTTGCTTATGTTTTGACTCCCAGGTGCACTTGTATAGTTTCAGAGTAAACAGGACATTTGGGGGGACTTTTCTTGAGCCAAAAAGCCCGGACGTTTGGCTGATAAACGAAAGAAGGGCTGACATTCTCATGTTGAAATATTATTTTTCTGTTGTCCCAAACATGTCCCAAAGTGTCTTTTAGTTGTCCCAGCCTAAATTTTTGTGGTCAGTGGCCTTTGGACCACCTTTGATTTCCAGCCCTGTTTATGTTCTGTTTAAATACTACTGAAGAAAAAGAAAAGAAGATGCAAAAAGATTCCCATCATAATTGATTTATGAATAAGTGTTTGCAAAGAACCAGTTTAATTAGCTGGAGTGTTTCAACCCTAATGCCCATGCTGCACAATACAAATACAATAAAGATAAGGATCAGCAGGACCGTCTAGTAATTTAGACCTTAATAGCAGTAAGCTGTGCTAACATTGTGATACCGTACGTTTTCAACTTCCCTGACATCATCTAAAATAACTTAGTTCAACATTTCACCCCATAAATCGTTGAATTAGTAAAATTAATTTGGTCGGACATTTTAATAAAAAAGAGGTGAATGAAATTTATGGGCAAATTAAGTTAGTAAAGAGACTCTTTCTACACATCCAAGTCTTAAAGTTTATTCAGCCGACGTTTCGGTGATCGTCTGTCACCTTCCTCAGGGCAATTCTGACTGGTTTCCATTGGCTTGCAGCACATGTATCTGTAGCAGTGACACCTGTGCTGCGTTGCAATGTGAATCAGTCAGAATTGCCCCGAGGAAGGTGACAGGCGGTCACCAAAACGTCGGCTGAATAAAGAACATGGTTGTGTAGAAAGAGTCTCTTTACTCAGTGTGTCACCAACCTTATGAAACTATTAACGGATGGGGGCAAACGAATTGATTTTTTCTTCAGGACGCTGCAAATATTATTTTGACTTGCATTATCAAAAGGAAGAGGAAGAACGCATAACGTCATAGATAATGCCATGAATAATACAAATTTGTATTACAGTCGTCAGGTTTGGTCGTTTGCATGGGTTGTCAGCACTAAGCTTATTTAGATTTATGTGGAAAAAAAGTGCAAAGTACAAAGTGTTTAAACGGATCAACTGTGGACCCATTGGCCCTGGACCTTACCCCCTTCGGTAATACTATTTTGTATCCAAATGTTACTTTTCATAAGGTACCAAATAAAACACAACACAGGATATCGCTTGTTTATCAAGTCATGCTATGCCCAACCTTTCAAAACAAATTAACAACATTCGTGTATTCCATGTTGTGAAATGGCCAAAATACTGACATAACGCTTATTGTGTTCAGGCTGAATTTAATGACTGTATTCAGACCCGTACCTATCTAGTTCTATGCCTTAGTAGCTAGTTCTATGGGTGGGTTAGTTTTAGGCTCAGACACGGTTCTGGATTGTCTCCGCGTATCCAATAACGTAGATTATCCCCAGACAGGGTTATGGATACAAGCAGACAATCCAGAACCGTTCTGGATAAAGCACGGTTCTGGATATGTAACATTTTACCTTACCATAATGACGATGAGCATGGTGACTTCCACGTACACAAGTTGAGGCTGTCCTCGCTGAAACTCGCTCAGAAACGTGAAGAAACTTCTGTTCCCGAAAATGTCGTCGTAGTCATGAAAGTAGGACACATCGGTCACACCCGACATGTTCCCCATAGCTATTTTTGAAAAATTCCTGGTGTAGTCCGATTTGTAAGGCGCCATTTTATACTTTGGGAAAGAAGAACTGAGCTAGCGTAGAAGGTAGTCCCGTATGGTGTCCACTAACGCGAAATTAGTCGACTGCAACGACCGAAATATGGTAATTCGTGTGATAGAAGGGCGTAAGTTTGTACAAATAAGCCAACAGTTTTATGACGTGAGCCCATGATCTAAAATACACACACAGTGTTGCCGGGCGGAAAGATAAATATTACGTCCTGATAAGAAGGCAACATATGTGCGGGGGTCGATCAAAAAGTTCACGACCTCACCCGTAAATAAGGGGCACAGAAGGGAACTGTCGGAGCATAACTATGAACTATTAAGTATTATGCCAACGGAAAACAGTAATATTATTTCAGGCATCTCATTTTGAAAATAAGTGCTATGAGTGTCTGAAAATACCGAGGGTTTAGAACAGTTAAGAGTTTGGTATGAAGGAAGAGGTGGGGCTTAATCGTAAATTGAGTGGCGAACAGTGTGTAAGGAGCATGTTGTATCGAGAACCGTGCTTTTTTGAAAAACCATAGTCAGGTACGATAGTTTAAGTGTTTACAGAATCATCTTTGGCCCAAATATGCATCTATTACGTTCTTTCATACGCGGGAACAATCTAGAATTGTTCCTAATCCTGCACTAACATATTCAGGCATATAACGGAAAAGTACGGTTCTGAACACATCGGGACAACTTTCAGGCTCTCTCTGTTTTGAGCTAAGCCACCCACATTTACGGCCGAAACATAGAGGGATTCATTAGCATACACTATTGATAAGTCTTCGTAGATTTCGTGGCATGTACCAGCAATAAACCTACACAGCTCTAATCACATTGTTTTCCTTACTTATTTATTTTCAAAAGGCATTTGAGTTATCACCGTTTATCATGGTTGAATTATTGACTGTGACTATCGTAAGCAAGTATTGCGTAATAAGATATATTTTTTGATTGATACATTGTTTTTAAAAAAAGGGAAAAAAGATGACATTTTTTTCATTTTCACCAAGTGAACACGCACGTCGTTTTCTTGTCTTTAGAGGCTATCAAAGAGCTTGTACATTTGAAAGAATGGTCCGTCAAAAGAAAGTGCTAACATTTACCAAGCAAATATCACACTGCCTATACGGCTTGACAGGGATACGCCTTGCAAATATATGCACGGTTATAGTGACAAGCTTTGGGCCCGCCTAGTTTCTTTGCGACCTTCGCCCAAAATTTAAAGGTTAGAAACAGTCTAATGTTGACGCCTGGATATTGATTTAATTATAATATGTAGGCGGGCATTTTTCCGTCTCGTAAACGGTCGATGCCATTTGAAACGGTCGATGCCATTATGCTGAATGGTCGATGCCATATCCGAGCGTACCATAACTTTTTTGAGGTCCAAAAACGAATAAAAAGTAATGTATATACTATACAAAGCAATATTCTAATTGCAAATATAAGGGTGGGACCGGTGGGTCATGTCGAATTGTAAATATTAGTGAAAAAAAAAACGCACAAGCTCGGATTCGAACCCGGGTCCAAAAGTATAGGTCTAAAACCCTACCCTATACCCTCTACGCCACGAAACTTCACGGTTTGGATGGACCGCGATATGGCATCGACCGTTTCAAAAGGCGACGACCGTTTAAGAGACGGAGATTAGCGGTGGCCATGTGTCTGTGTCGCAAACGGCTGTTGCTATTTGTGAATGGTGTATTTCAGTTGACACCTCGCTGAATTACGTACAACTTATATACAAAATTTCTCCTGAATCACATCAAAATTAGAGTTGTTGCACAGGTTACGAGTGTTGGCATTTAGTTATTCGATAAATCCATATGATCATCTTCTTTAAACAGTTCAATATTGATAAGAACAGACAACAACAATATCGATTGGTTCTAAAATACTACGCGCATTTCAGTAAGAGAAATGACATTAAAGGACATTAAAAGTTGTAAGAGAATTATAAACTAAAAAATAATCGGTAAGCTTTCGCTCTATTCTTAACAGCTATCGAGTAATTGTGTTAGGTATGGAATGGGGTAGTCTCTGGCCGTGTTTATGTGAAGTCACCCAAACCGCGATTCGGGTAACTCACATTCCTCACATCTGATCCAAGTGCCACACATTCCTTTGAAACCGTGTCCGATCACAATTCGCTTGAGCTACATTTATTGTTGTTTGATGAAAACACGCAAGGTAGCGTGTTATTAATGTCAGA